AATATAAGTCCTGTTTCATTAATAATAAAACCTGAACCATTTGTTGTACCTATTGATGAATTAAAATGTCCAAAATATGGTATTGGTTCAAGATCAACTTCAATATGAACAACAGCCGGTGCAACATGTTCAACAACATCAGCTATAAAATTATATTGTTTTGAATATGGAATTTTTTCAATTAATGGTGTTTGATTATCAACTATTAATGGACCTTTTGGTGTTGAAGGTATTGATTCATTTTTTGATAAAGCATAAAGACGATAACGATTATAAATTTCATATAAACTTAAAGAACCTGTTGCAAAAAGAAGACTAAATGGTATAGATGAATTAATTTTATTAGAATATTGTTCATTTTTAGTTGATAATAATGGAAAATAAAATGATGAATATTTTTGATGACTTAAAAGAATTCTTGCAAAACGATACATTATTACTGTGGTCCTTCTTAACACATATAAAAACAGACAATCAATTCGTATTGTTTCAAATATTTAACCAATCAAATAAATAGATTAATATTTCATTTGATTGGTTAATAAAACGACAAACTGACAATGTCTATAGATACAAATTTTCTTTGCATTATATTTAACTTAGCAATGAATGAAAATAGATTTTTATGTTCATTAATAATATTTTTATTGCAAAAAAAAAACAGATATTTCATCAAGTATTATATATAACATTTATTAATTATATTCAAACAACAGAAGCCAAAAGGAAAAGTAATCCAATGACGTATAAAATAAGAGAAGATACTCAACAATGTTGTTATGAAAAAAGTTATTAATAAACTTGAAAAATTTAAACTTCAACTGAAACTTATTCCTGAATATAAGCCAGAAAGAAGAATTTCCACAGTAAATTGAGTAAGGATAAACAAAAAAAGATGAGGCACTATTTTTTAAAAACAAAATTTCCTTTGTTTTTAGTGTTCGAAAATGTTCATCCATTCAATCAATATCTAAAGAAATGATGTATCATTGAATATTAACTCATGATTGAGTTAAACATAAGTATTCACAAGAAATAATATTTATTTTGCATACATTCAAATCTCAAGAAAATGTACTTGAATATTTCAAAATTGAAAGTGAAGAGCTTTATGAATAAACTTTACAAGTAAGAATAAACAGATTAATTCAAAAGATTCACATATCTTATTAAAACTATCTTGTGTAATTATGTAAATATTATTACTGTAATCTATAGCACAACTTGTAGATAGTAATGTTTTTTTAAAAGTTTTCGAAGATAATTAATCTTTTTTTGTAAAATACTTATCTAAAAGTAGTATTGAAGAGTAAGAATAATTAATTATTCGATCTTCTATCCCCAATGGAAGCATAGAAGAAGCCACACAACAACAACAAAAACATGTCAATGTTTGTGATAAAATGTTTTTAACAAAGCTTTTTTTAATAAAAAAAAGTAAATATTTTCTTTGTAGCACCTTATTTATGCTCTATTACATGAGATATTATTGAATTTGATTGAGTGTCATACTACTGTGAAAATTCATAGGGATCTTTCAAAAGTCATGAAAAACACCGGAGTAGTGATTTTCTATCTCTTTTATTGTCGATCTGGAGACTAATTCAATGCTACATTAGTATGAAGCATAATTGACTTTAAGATAGCTGTTCTCTGCTCTTCTTTCATATTGAGTAAAATATATTGTGAATAACATCGTTTTTCTTTTCATCAACAAAGATACAATGTATATTATAAAAAGAAAAAAATTTGTTTGTTTTTTAAATATTCATTCAGTTTCGTTTTGTTTATAATAATCTGAACAAGCATGTAAGAGACAGATAGAAAAACAATTGCATAGAGTGTTTTCGTTTTCTCATAGGCAAACTTGTTGTGTTATCGTTTTATTATAATTTGAAGGTATTATTATAGGTAATTCAACAAATAGTATGCAAGAAAAAAAAAAGACAGTCTATTATTGCAAAATTCGTTTGAACTCTAACGATGTTTTTCTTTTTTACATAATCAGTGTTTCACATATTTCTTATAATCTTACAGAGTGAAAATACGAAGCCAAATTAAAACCTATGTAATTCAAAATGTGCAACAGCTTTTAATGGCTTCGTTTTGTAGTGCAAAGTTTGTTCTACAATGTGTACTTTTTACTTTGATATTTTATCTTGCATGACAGATTTTTAAACTTTTGTATTTTTACAAGTAGTTTTTTGAAACAGCGAAATGTTGATTTCCATAGAAATTACTTCCTCAGTAGAAACGTATAGATAATATTTCACTTATCGTAATACCTCATTTTGTAAAAAAACTCAATGCTCTACGATAATCTTGAATCGATGATGTTCCAAGACAAACTACGTAAAGTAAGGACTGTGTTAAAAAGTATCATTTTGCTGTGTACAGACATAGTTTTGAACTTTTTGATAAAATTTACTGATAGTTGTTCAATGTTATTTCTTCAAAAGAAAAATTTGAACATGTATTCGAAAATATCAAAATCTTCTCTTTCAAATTAACTGCTTCTGGCTCCAAGCAGTTGTGTTTTTTTTTTCAAGCAAAATATGAACAAATATTGTATGCTAAGATTTTCTAATCAGATATTGATTCTTGAATATTTTAAATAAATTTTAGATTGATACTAAAACAATACTATTTGGTCGTCATGAATCTCTTTACAGTTTGCCAAATACAAATTATGATACGTCAGATGATGATGATTATTTTAAAACAGCGATTTATTTTATGAAAGATTTCGGTGTAGGTTTTATGGGAGAGATGAAAACAATGGAATGTCAAAAATGAACAGAAATTCAAGCTGAACGACATGTGAAAAAAAGAAGCCAAAATCGAAGAAAAATAAATAATTTAATAAAATGGATAGTTGTTTTTGTTTTCTTTTGGATAAATCAATTCAGTAATCAGATAGTTATTATAGTAGTGCAATTTAAAGTGAAAGCACTAGCTAAATATATTTTAATATTAAAAAAAAAGTTTTTCTGACTTGTACTTAAACAATAACTTGTATTCTTAACTGGTAATAATGATAAAAAAAAAATAAGCTAAACATTGATTTGTTTATCAGTGAGGTATGCAGACCTTTTTTTTTCTAATTTCATAATAAATAAACAAAAGAAAAAAAAACCATTGCAGTTGATTTCGTTTTAGATAACTTAAAAGGGACTTAGGTTATATTAAGAATGACGGTTTCTGGAACGGATAGTGTTGCCAAAGGACAAGTATCACAAAGATCTAAACATTTACAACCTGAAGGAAGCAAAGTTCATCGAGGTAAATTGAAACAAATTAACCAGTTTTATTCGAATACTTTTCTTATATAATTAGAATTTAGCTTTCGAAGATAAAGTTAGTATTCTTGCTTTGCTCTCTTTCTCTATGTGCAAGCTCGAATAGTGTTCTAATTGGAATTATGATAAAAAAATCGCTTGAATTTTTCTCTATTTCACTTCTATATTTCTTTCATATATTATTAAAGGATTCACTATTTATGCAACGGGTACTCCATCGATTCCATCTCGTTATTTAACTATTACTTCAAGTAATAGTGAAAAACAAGGTTTTCACCAAACTGCTAAACGTTTTCAACATGATCTAGTATGTTCTAGTTTTATTTTTCTAAATGATTATTATTTAACTTGTATAGAACTTTACACCTGGTCCTGGTCAATATCAAACAGTACAATCATTAGATAAACAATTAGAAAGAACTTCAGATTCAAAGAAAGGCTCTGGTAGTTTTGCTTCAAAAGTATTCAACATTCTTTTTCCTTTTTCCTAGTTTATACATATTTTTTATCGATACATAGAGTCAACGAGAAAGTTATATAAATCGATTAGCAAATTTTCCAGCACCGACATCTTATAATATTCCAGGGGTATTTAGTTATGAACAACATGGTTTTAATAGATCAAAATATTCCAGTATGTTTCAAAAACCAATTGCTGAACGACCTTTATCACCTAAATCACACATTCCAGCTCCAAATCAATATGATGTTAATAAAGTTTTTCTTTTGTTTTATGTTATTTTATTTCAAATCTTTATTTTCTTAATAGATTGATCAAGGTTTGAAAACAATAACTAAATCAAATAATGTTACAGCTCAAGCTGCTTTTCGATCACATACAAAAAGATCTGCTGCAACTCATAAATATTTTAATACACCTGCTCCAGGTATATATTATTATGTTTTCTTTTGTAAGAATAAAATAATCGGCCAATTCGAATATATACTTAAGGTGCATATAATTTGAATGATTCAGCAACACGATTATTAGCACCTATTCATCAATCAAGTTTTAAATCAACTTCGAAACGTGATACATTTAGCGTTCAATCAGCTAGTGATGTATATTAAAAACTATCATCAATATCCATACAATCTGAATTATTATGTTTTTTTTTAAGCTACCAGGTCCAGCTGATTATCGACCATTTGAAAAAATAATGGAAGAACCTCATCGACAAGTACTTCCGTATGTTTCTAAACTGTAAAAGTTTCTTTTTTTTCTTTCAATGAGAATAATTTATTATTTAAGACGTCATCATTATTTGACTATTTCTGCTCCAGCTATTCCACCTCCTCCTGAAGCTCCATATCCTGGTCCAGGTGCTTATGATCTTCGTGATTTTAAAGAAGTTGAAAAAAAATATATGTCATCAGCTGCATTTGTTTCAAGTACAAGTCGTTGGGCTATTGATGCAAGTACGTCAGGTGAACGACCTGGTCCTGGTTCATATACACCACGTGTACCAACTAAACAATCCTTTAATTTTAATTTTGAGCGAAAATGGATTTCATAGAAATCATTGATAAGTTTCGTCTGTGATTGATTTATTTATTCTCATTGCATGACATTATTTTTTCTTTTATTATAATATTTATCTCAATTGTATGATAATGTATTTTTTTTAGAATGAACTTTTGATTTTTTTGTTTTTTGTTTATTTTTAATTGCACGATTTTTGCTTTTATTTATAGATAAATATGAATCGTGAAGGATTACTTGAATTGATGAAACAAAAAGATGATATTGAAAAAGAATTAAATGATTTAGCAAATGAACTTAAATTACAAAATAATGTTGGAATGACAGAAGAACTTGTCGATAAAGAAGGATATCCAAGGTAAAGAAAAATTTGTTGAACGTATCTTTTGTCGTGATAAACAATTATTTTTTTTTTCTGTTTAAGAAATGATATTGATCTTGTTCGAGTACGTCAAATAAGACAACGCGTTATCTGTTTACAAAATGATCATAAAGCATTGATGAAACAAATCGAAGCGGGTCTCATACAAGTTCATGAAAATAATCCTTCGAATACTACTGAATCAATAACGACAGCTCCTATCAATGCCAGTTTACCTCACAAAGAACCATTTTTACGTGTTGATATTGTTAGTACTCAATCACCTGCTGAAATAGCTGGTCTTCATGTTGGTGATCTTATTTGTCGTATTGGTACCATACGTAAAGATAATTTTCGTACAATACAAGATGTTGCATCACTTGTCAACAATAGTGAAAATCGTTCAATTACATTACTTGTTCAACGTGCTAATACAAAAGAACAACAAACATTAACATTAATACCAAAAAAATGGTCTGGCAATGGTTTATTAGGATGTAAATTAACACCATTGAGTTGATTTCTTTTTAATATAAATTTTTCTTTTTTTCTTTATTATTATTCATGATAAACTAGAAATATCATACATGTAATTGCTAGAAATTTTTATTTAAATAGCTATGATAAAAAATTGACTAACAATTAAATTTAATTGTCATTTGAATAAGAAAAATTATATAAGCGAAAAATGTCAGTAGACAATGCAATATTATGACTTTTTAGCAATAATCATTTCTTATCATTCTATGTACATTTACTTCTTTGTGATTAAAATGTAACCGATACCAATGTCAGAAGACTATCATTGTTCCTTTTTTTAAAGAAAAGTAGCACGAAATAAGTTACAAATAATCACAAGTTGTGGATGCAAGCAATGACAATCTAGATGAGCACAATTCTTAAAGCATAACATAGTTTTTCATATAATGCAGTCGATATAACAATAAATATATACGAATGTAATATAACTCTACATACGTGACAAAATCATGTTAACATACTGTATAGAAATGTAATCATATTTTCGAGGGTTTAGTGATTTTAATTAAAATTATTCAAGAAAAAAAAGATCAGAATAAGTTTACGAATATTGAAATCTTGTCAATTAAAAATGTCAAATTTTTCTTAGAATGATATGAAGATTAACATATAGAACTGATATTGTCAAATACGAAATATTTAGATGATAAATTTTCACTAAGTCAGCTTGTTTTTCTTGATTTAAATGATTACACTAGTTATCTCATATGTCATTATTTACCACTAATGTTTTTTTGTAAACTAATATCTTCTTTCAGGACTTTTTTTCTCTATTACTCGATTGAACTCAAATCAATTATCATTCGTAAATAGGTGTGTGTGTATAAAAAGTCATGCCTTTTATTTTCACATCATTTTAACCAAAAAAATAAATGTCTTACCGATGCTATAATATGACATGGACTCTAGAAGCTCGTCAAATTAGTCGAGCTTATCTTGCTCTAGCTATACCAGCTTTTATATTTCATGTATTATTTTGGATACATGTAGCTACACATCGAGCACTTCGTCAAATTTCTATGCTTTGGGTATATAATTATCTTTTTACTGATATTCTTCTACTTGTTCAATTTTTTATTGAATATACCGTACGTAAAATGTCATATTGTATGTCATTTTCAAACTTCTATGCATTTTGTAATATTGAAGCCTATACAAATACTTATATGACTATACTTGAAGCATATATGTTAGTTTGTTTAAATATAACACGTTATTATTTAATTGTAAAGAATTTAAATATATCTATTCAGTATCCTTATATACTAATTTTTTTAAATATATGTCTTTATATTGTTGGAATAAGTGTATTATTATTACAAGTTAAAGTATTTCAAATAGTGAAATTAGATTCTCATCAATATACTCAAAGTTGTCATTTTAATTATCTTAATATAAAAACTCAATTGGGAAATTTAATCATTATTCTTTTAATTCCAATTATTTTAAATTGTTATTTTATGACATTAACAACAATTCATGTTCGTCGAGCACAACAAGCTGTTCGATCACAAGTAAAACTAAAAAACCAATAAATTTTTCAAATAAACATATTTATTTCTTTTATTTTTCTTTTTTTCGTGATTCATAGCGTAGTAAACATTTACAATTATTAGTTCAATCTTTTGTTGTTTATATTTTATGGTTAATATTATGGGCACCAAACGTCGTTGTAACTCATATTACTTCGGATAATCATTCAAGTTCTTATACACGTTTCGGTAGTATTATAAGTGCTTTATGTGATCCACTTATTTTTATGTTTATTGATCGACGTTTTCTAAAAGTCTGGAAAAAAACATCTTGCCAGATAATACGTTGTGGTCGACCATCAAGACAAATACATCCAACAAGAATTAGTAATGCATTTCCTTTATCAATAGTTGCCGAATAATTTTTTTCCCAAAAATCAAATCTAGTCTTTGCTTTGGAAATCGTAAAGTTTTATTTCTATTTCGTTGAACTGATCTTTTTTTTTCCTAAACTTTACATTAGTATTATAAGTGAAACATCATTTTCCAAATAAAAGTTTTCTTCTATAAGAATCTAATTGATCAAACTCTTAAATATCTTTGACATAAAAGAATTTTATCAGACATTTAATACTATAACTATAAATACAATTATCTTTATATACATGTTACTAAAAATTTTCATTAATCATATCATTCCATCATCGGTCATTAGCATAGAAAAGATATATGTATATTAAAAGCATGTCTTATATCAGATTGTTTAGAGATTGTCTAGTGTCTAAATTTGTGCTGCTGTCAATTTAGTTGAAGATATATAAAAATCATCTTATAATGTATTAAATGTTGTTACGATTAGAAGATTCAAGATATTATTTGAATTTTACATTCTATGTTTTAGTTGACTCATAAAGAATCTTTTTGTCAAAAGAATTAGTTAATTAATAGATATATTTAAGTGATTGGTTTTTCGACGGTTTTTTTTGTTGGTTATATCAAAATTTCAATCGGCAAGCTATGGACTAATTTGGTCCGAGTCAAAGAAAGCTTAACAGTTGTTAATAGATATGTGAGAAACGTAAAAAGAATACTTTCTGATCCTGTTCTGTTAAAAAATTCGATTATTAAGAGTTAAATGTGGCCCATGCTCTGCCACATATACTCTTGCTTCAGTTGCTGTCTAAGCATGCCATCTAGTAAAGCATTTTACATGATTGGTTCCCTGTAATGTTACGCACTTACATTTGTTTTTTTTGCTTGCTATATAAGCATAAATTAATGACTGTTAACTACAGTACAGGTGAGAGTAATAATACAAATGCAAGTCACATGCATCATTAATGTATGAGTTTCTTTTGTAGTTATTATTGTCGACACATATTCGTATTATTTTGATCAAATAAAATGGCTAAACCCGCTGTTGTTGAGGTGGAATATTGTGGAGCATGAGGGTACGAGCCACGGTACGAGGCATTGCGTCAAAGCATTTTGAAACGCGTGCCGACCGCTACCGTAACTGGAAATGTTGGACGACGTAGTAAGTATATTTGTTTTTGTTTTGGATATTTTTATTTTTGCTTTTATTCAAGCTTCGTTTGAGGTGACCGTTAACAACAAAGTCATCTATTCGAAACTTCAAACCGGTCACTTTCCTGACGCTGAAAAGGTTAGGTCATATCGGTAAAAACATAGTTGAAGTTCATTTTGTTTAGATTGTGGAACAAGTTGAAAATGCTGCTCAAGGTCAAGATGTCCAAACTGTGACAAAATCAAACAAGAAGGGATCTTGCACAATTCTATAAACAGCTAATATATGAATTTTATATTATCTTTTCATTATGTCATACTTATACTTGAATATGTTTTGATTTTTTTTTCAAGTTTGTTCATTTTTATAGTTAGCAATTCACTTATGATAGCTAAAATTAAAAATTTGAAAGATTTTAGCCTGATTTTTTTAATGTTGCTTCTATTTTTATGCACAACTTGAGCTAAACATATACTCGTTTGTATAACATATGAAAGAGTTTGTAACTGTGATAACTTTTTTTAAAAATATATTCACGCCATCTTACTTTTGACTATTGAACTAAATTCTAGATATCAAGGAACAGTTACAACGAATTCGAATTATAAAAAAAAAGAAAGATTATAGATCATATTTGTAGTTTTCAGCATATATCATCAATAATGTTTCATCAAAATGTTGGTGTTATGGAAGGTTATTTAAGAGAAACATTTAATGCAACAGACGAAGAATTGACCTATCTTCAAGAAATATTCGGTCATCGAGATCAGAAATTGAAATCACTGAGTACTGGCCGAAGTCCATATGGATCTCCATCCGTAGTTATAGATGATTTTCTTTATCATGGTGATTTAGGACATGCATCAAATATAAAATTATTGAATCAACTCGGTATTCGTCACATAATTGATGTATGTGATTGTCAATTAGAGAAAGAAATATTAGAAAATTTTCATGTTTTGTGGATTAATTTATATGATGAACTTCGAGCAGATATAAAAAAGCACTTTGAAGAAACCAATGAATTTTTACGTGTTTGTAAAGAAAAGAATGAGAAAGTTTTAGTTCATTGCCAAATGGGAATATCACGTTCATCTTCAGTTGTTCTGGCTTATTTAATGAAGTAAAAACAATTGATTGATAATAATTCATTTATACGTTTTTTTTTTTGTTTTTTTTAAATTCAGATACCACCATGATTCACTGCTCAAAGCTTATGATTATTTACTTGAACGTCGTCGTATTGCTGCACCGAACATATCTTTCTTTTTACAATTAATTCGCTATGAAAAAGAATTACGTAAAACAAAAGAAATAGATGAAAGTAAACATAATGATGATCAACAAAATCCAATTGAAAAACTTGATGCAAATCAAGATCCAGCTCTATTGAATAACGAAATTGAAGATGAGAAAATGGAAAATTGGAATTAATTGTATTCTTGTTTTACGATGAAAGAAAATGTGGAATGATAATTGAAACATGTTCTATTTTATTATATTAATGCTCATGTAAATGGTGCTAAAAAAAAACAACACATATTTAGTTATTATTTAATCACTGAGTAATGATTATTTTTTTTTTGTTGGAATCATGCATCTTTTATGTATAAATTTATAAACAGAAAAAACAAAATTGTAGCATTATTTACATAAATGATTATGTCCTAATATTATCAAATAAGCAAATTTATTCAAATAATCTTCTCAAATACATTTGTTTTAAATTGTTATTGACAACACAACAAATAGTGATTCATATTTATTTTGTCCTATTGTGATCTATTTTTGAATATTTAAATTGATTGTAAAATATATTAAGAGCTTGGAAGTACAGTTAACTATGTCAATAAATATAGTTTTGCATTTGATAGATAATTATAGATCGGTTGTCAATAAATAGTAAATTTTCTACAGAAATTCCGAAAGTTTCATATACATATAAAGACAAAAATTACATGTTAGAAGTAATCATATTCTTTGAAAAGCAATCATTTTGTTCTATTTTATATCAATTTTAAATATTGTTCAAGCTTGTATTTTCTAATAACAATTCTATAAAAATAGATCTCACTATTCGTACATCGGATTCAACTTTCTCTATTTCTATAAACATGAATTATTTCCAGTTTTCTTCTATGTAGTCTGATCAGATTTTTTAAATTAGCATTTTCTTTATTTTTTTTTGAATTGAACATCATTTAGTTGCAATGCATCATATCAAAAATCGATATGTGAAACAATGATTGTACTATCAAAATAACTATCTCTCAATAAATCATTTTCATATTCATCCATTTTTTTCATATGATACATAAATGTACTTTTTTGTTCTTCTTCTTTTTTTTGTTTTCAATATACTCGACGAGAAAATGATAAAGGAACACGAAACACAATAAAAAGAGCGATAAACATAGTTAATATCAATAAGATAATGCGAATAAAATAAGAACCTACATTAATTATGATATGTATGAGAATGATCATGAGATACTTCAGTTAAAATCGAAAGACAATAAATGGAAAAACTAACAATGGAAAAGAAAATAGTAAGCAATAAGGAAAAACTAAAAAATGCAAGAATGTAATGTGAAAAAAAAAGGGATACAAGATCTCTTTGTTTAACGAGAGATTTAATTATCAATAAAAGGCATACATATTAAAGTAAATATAAAATGGCGATAGGAATGTCACTAAATACCTTACATAGACAACATTAAATAACTTTTATTTTGCAATATTTCAAAGATTTAACTTTTACATTGCTTCTGGTAATACATATGATATATCATCCCATGGATGACGATAAAGACCTTGTCGTAGACGTTTTTGATCAAGAAAATGACCTTAAATATATCGAAATACATTGTTTTAAAGATGTTTTACTATAAATCATTACTAACCGATAAATCCAATACTTCGTCCAAGAACAAAAAGTCCATTAAGTGCGCCATTCTCAATAAATTCACTTGCTTCTTCAAGTGTAAAACAGCCACAATTGCGCAAAAGATCCACCATAGCAACACCAATACAACCATCAACGTTTAAAATTAAATTAGGTTTCTGAAAATAAAATAAAATAATTTTTCAATTTATGAACATCAAATATGATGTAATTTAAACTAGTCTCATCTAACTTGAAAATGCCATCGATCTCTTTCACGCACATAGCATTGATCTTGTACACAATCTTTTTAAAACTCATTTGACAAATATTCACAAGTAGACTTATAATAATCTCAGAAAAATAATATTTATGAGATGCACTAATTTGACTCTGAATCAATTCTGTATTATAAGAAACATTAAACTCGATCTATCATGCTTTACATTTTAATTCAATAGAAGATTATCTTGAAAATTTTGCCGTATAATATTACCTTGCTAACAGTAATTTTTTCTACTTCAAGTGCATAATCAAGTAATGGTGTTGCTGGAAAGTGTTGTTTAGCATATTGTTTAAGAAGAACCACACGCATATCGGGATTGTTTAACTAAAATTCAAACAAAAGAATAATTTCTCTTGTATCTCAGAAAATTTTTTTATACCGATTTAACACGATGTCCAATACCCATAATAAGATTTCCTTCTTTACGCATTTTATTAACAAAATCAGCTGGATGTAAACCAGTATCAAATGCTTCACTAAATTGTTTAGCAGCATTATCAAGTGCTCCACCAAAACGATCACCCTACATAGTTATATTAAGTAAAACAAAAAAAATTCTTATCCTTTATATCTTACGATTGTTAATAAACCAGAAGCTAAACATGAAACAAGATCTTTACCAGCACGTGCACATACTATTGTATTATGTGCACCACTAACTGCTGGTCCATGATCAGCTGTTACCATAAGTGTCATTTCAAGAAATTCAGTAGCATACTTAGGT